GTCGATAAGAATAAAATGATTAATTTTTTGTTGAAATATTGAAATATCCAAAAGCTTAAATATAATCTGCTCAGCGGTCTTTGAATAATGGATAAGCTCGTTAATTCGTTAATAAAAAAGTCTTGTATAATAAATGAAATAAAATATTTTCAGAATTCCATCGGGGCCAAGCTCAAGTACTGCAAGGCGACATGTTTTTACCAGCTATGCGAGACTTTCAAGCCCAAGCAACGTGCAGACTTGCCGAAGCCGAAGATCTCTTTCAGGATATGAAGACGCGAGTAAGCAAGAATAATCATAATTTTAAAAATCTCGCGATGTGTTAAAGCATCTAATGACACATATAATTAATAAGATATTATGTCATTGTTAGTTTGACAGGGCTGTGAGACTTTTCGGTGAAGATTCCGCCGGTGTCCAGCCTGATGAGTTCTTCGGTATTTTTGAGAACTTTCTTCAGGCGCTGTCCGAAGCTAGACAAGACGTTGAGAACATGCGACGAAAAGTGGAGGAGGAAGAGCGCCGTGCCAAACAGGAACAGGAAGTAAGTTTTATCGACATTTTTTACGACTCTGATATTTTGAAAGTTTCTATTGGAGTTTTTTCATTCATTACCTGTCAATTGTATTGATAAAGATTATTTCGAAAGTTTATCAATAGAAAGTTTACCTTTTAAAGTCATATTAGTTACTTTACTATGATACGGGTAGATTTTTTTTTTTTTTTTTTTTTTTTTTTTTTTTTTTGAAAATTCCAACTTTCATTATAAATTATAAAAAATTAAGAATTTCTAATTAATCTATTTTATTCTTTTAATATAACGCAAAAAATAAATACCGAAGGACAATTCTCCATGAAAATAAATTGAAATTAAACCAATAGGATTATTGGTGAAGAAAAAATACAATAATTGAAACAAACGATGATGAAACTAAGCCCTCTTAAAATATTTGATTAACAGTGTAGAAATAATAAGGTATTGTATTAAATTTTTTAGTTGAAGAAACGAACGATGGAAAGAAAGAACTCACGCGAGGGCATCTTAAACAGCATCTCACTGAATAAAAAGACAGAGGCGAACGGCACGAATGGTCACGCGGATAACAAAGGCGAGTTTGACGACCTCATATCGGCTTTGCGCACTGGCGACGTCTTCGGCGAGGACATAGCCAAGTTCAAACGGTCGAAGCGGCGCCCAGTCACGCCAAATAGTGGCGGCGGTGGCGGCGGCGGCGTGCTCGGCAGCGGAGTCGGTGGCGGTAGCGCCGGTTGCGGCGTCAACCAGGAGTCGCGCAGGCATAGTGCTCACCGCGAGGACTCCCGCGAAAGGCATTAGAATGTGCAAACCGTAGTGAGAGGGAGAGAAAGAGACAAAGAGAAAAAGTGGTTGTGAAGTTGAAGCCTGATTAGTTCACTGCTTTACCGATATGCATTTTAATCATTAACGAGATTATCGATGTACCCGGACAAATTTTAACAACGACTCTCTCTCATTATTCTTTTTTTGTATATTATTTCTTCTTTTTTTTTTAAAGCTTATACTATTAACATAGATAATGTATATTTTATCGGTTCGCCTATTTATTGGCAAAATAATTAAATTTGAAAGCTAATAGTAACCATTATTGAATGAATCTTCATTTAATATTTTTACTTCATGATTAATTTTAAACTCACTTTTTTAAGTATCTATTAAATAACTATAAAAATGGAAGAATCTCTATTGAATTATCAATTAGACAGTTTCTTGTGAAGATCATTATTTTTACATTAGCTATAAAAAAAAGAAGCAACGACAACATTGTCATACATTATTCATACAAGTAATTTAGAGAAAAGGTTGTTACACATGTCAAATTCCTCAAGTATTTGTGACTTCATATCTAAAAGTGTAGAAAAAAAAAAAACCAAAAAAACAAATTATAAAAAACACATTATAATTTTAGAGGTCTTTTAAAATAAGAAGGGGAAAACATAATGAATTAAAAAAATGTCGGTGAAAAACCTATCAATTCTCTCTTAAAGTATAGGAAATAACATAAGAATTATGTTAATTTATTGCATTTGACGCTTTAAGGAATGTGAAACATCGATACTATTTTAATTAAATATATTTTATTAATAGTACACTATACGTTTAATATAATTTCTTTAATACAAATTTGTAGCCATAATTTTACTTGCATTTGATAAGAAAAAAAACAGGGAAAAAAAGAAAAGTAAAAATTCATTGTCATTGATGTAATAAGAAACAACTTTTAATCATTAAAAGTAAAAATATTTTAAACATTTTGTTATTATGTTTAAGTACTTCATCATACAATTATAATTTACGTAGAAAATAATTTAGATATGAAGGATCAATTATTCAATAATACAAATCTATCGGTAAAGTGATACGTTCACATCCCCTCAATAACAAAAAGACTGGACAATGCTTTTTGAGTGCCAAGACTAATGATGCAAACTAGACACAATGGCTTCTGATATATAAAATATTTAAAATTCTATAACCTTTATATCATTCACAGATACGCATGGCTTGTTTTTTTTTTTTTTTTTTTTTTTTTTTTTTTTTTTAATTATTCTGACGATTGAATATTTACGAAGAAATTAAATTATTCGTATTTAAAAGAAAATTTAGAATCGAAGCCAATAAATTTGCAATCATTTTGCAGATTTTGTCTACATTGAAATTATAAAAATATTGACTGATAAGAAATATTTAGAGTATGTCACAACAGTTTGTCACAAATAATTTTTTAATATTATTCTGAAATTTTATTGTTTCATGTTTTATTTTAATAATGTTATAATTGTTATTACATTGACGGAAATCAATAAGAATATTCGATAAAATAATATCCAACATTAATCGAAGAAGACAATATAAGTTATGCATGCTTAAAATTAATTTTACATGTTTTCTTTAAGCTCAAAGCACAACAGCGATATTGTACGTGATATATTTGAATTGTACATAGAGTCAGTACATTACACATGTGTTATAAATATATATTTTATCGCGACTAATTATCATGCTGATAAAAGAAGTCATTATTATATTTAAGATTATAGCCATTTTTTTTTTTTTTTTTTTAAATCATCTACAGTTTCTTTTCTTTTTCCTCCTTCTAACAACAATATATCTTTCCGTATTTACATACATCATGGGATTATTGCGTGGCTGTTTTATATGTATATTTATTTGTAACATACAGTTTATTTATTAATAAAACAATGAAATTCAGTGATATTACAAGAAGGAACAATCAAAAATATTTTCGAAATTATACACTCTCGTAATAAAATAGTTTAGGTATTTGAACATTTCACAGGTGCAATTAAATTTTATATATTAAATTTTATATGAATTTTTCGTATGAAAATCAATTCATGGAAAAGGATTACAATAATCCTTTTACATAAATGAAAAAATATAAAATAAATATGAAAATTTCGAGTGAAAATATTAAATTTAAATGTATGGTTTATCATATTATACATATTATACTTCAAGAATAAAATCAAATAACTATATGTATGCATTTATTTAATTTCACAGTTGGTCTGAAATTTATTTCAGACGTATCAATTTAAAGATTATTAATTATTACTGTACAGGATTTTGTTAAAAGTTTTGGTTAATTATAAATTTAATTAATTGTCAAATGTCTTACTCTATTGAATAGCTAATGTTCAAGTACGAACCATGAATAGAAGTATCGTAAGCTTTTTAGAAAAATAATATATTAGAAATAATAAATTAGAAATCAAATATCGATAAAAAAAAGTACATTGACAATGATTGAAAGATAAAATTAAAATTTGGACCAAGCAGTGATTTATATATATATATATATATATATAAATCTGTTAAAATCATAATATATAGGCTAGGATAATTGCAGATGAAATGTGTAGATGAAACAAAAATTTAATATATACTTATAACATAACGTATGTATATATATATAAGAAAAGAAAAGCAAATTTTAAATATCACACATTGTTTAAAGTTACAAAGAGGTTATTGAAGGCCTACTTATAGAGTATTTAATGAATGGCATTGTCATGATATTAAAGAATTATTATAAATTTGAGTTTATATTATATTAAAAAAAAAACGAGTAATAAGCTGTGGTTTTAAAAACAAATAAGAAATAACACTTTTATAATAAAAATGGAGACGTAGATCGAGATTCAATAGATGCTTAAAATATAGGATGAAATAAATAAATAAAACAATTTATGACGCGTCTCTAAATTATGTAGGAGTTGATGTTTTATATAAGCTTTTTGTACTTTTGTAAATACGCAGTTTACGCATATATATATATATATATATATATATATATATATAGCTTACAATGAAAATACACGAAATAGAATGAATGTTGGATTAATATATAACTTTCACTAATATTATATATGTAATAAAATATTGTAAAAGAAAAAAAAAATATATATATATATATATATATACACTAATATTGAATTTGTTTCAAAATGTTTTCATTTTATTTAAATTATTGAATAATTTACATTAATTTTTTATAAAGCTAGAACTACGTACGATTTGTGTAGGAATGTAAAAATGAATAATATGATGAATATTATAATGATAAACGACTAATGTAATGATACAAGAAGACTTTTAATTTATCACTCTTCTCACATACAACTATACGGTATTAATGAAAATATATATTTTATATGAGAAATTATAATTAAATATAATTAATGATTAATTAATTATTACATTAATATTATCTTTATAATCGAAAGCTTTGTGTATTAATGACTTTTTATTATAGGATTGGATTTCAGTTGGAATTGAAGTAATTATTAAAAGACGAATGTGAGCATATATATTTTTTTTAATTAAAATACGTTGATTCCAAGAACTTTGGGCATGAATTTTGTTTTTATCATATACCTGTGTCTTACATACATGTTTGAATATTCAAATTGTACGCATGCACGCACGCACTTGTTTACGTCCATGATACAATAATGAACATTACATAAAAAATAATTGAGAATTAAAATTAAATGAATTAAAGTTAAAGGGCAAAAAAAAAAAGAAAAAAAAGTAAAAGCAATTTATTCAATTCCATTTGCTTCGTTGGTAATGCAGTGTTCGATGTTATCAATTATGAAATAAGTAGGTATCTAATATTCTTAAGTACACTAAATTGTCGCGAATAGCAGTGTGGCAGCATATTCACTGTTACGTAATAATTGAAGAACGGTTAAATGTTTGAAAAATAGAACTTTTAACATAGGTATTACTCATTGTGTATGTATTAACGCATTCGTTGATGCGAATATTGAAATTATATTAGCCTTAAGCGCCTAATAATGAAAAACAAAGATAGTCAAAATTTTTAAAATTTTAACTAATAATTCGCACGTATTCTTCTAATCGTGTACAATCTGAAATTACTCTTAATTTCACTTTTCCACAATAATAATTCGTCTTATTTTTGCTGTTATAATTATTATTGTTGGTGGGATGATTTATAAGTAATCCAAGCCAATTAGAGACTTTCACATATTTTCCTATAATATGCAAATTAAAAAAAAATATAAATTCTGATTCAGTAAATAAAAAGTAATTAATCACATGCATGACTATTATGGATTGTACTACTTTTGTAATTTATTTGCAAAATTACTGAATGTCCAAAAAAAAAAAAAAATATTTATGAAAATAATATAATAGTTCTTCATTTCTTTCATTTTATAGCTCTGAAATAAAAAGATACATGACGTAGTGTTCATAAAATGGTAAAATAACTGATAAAAAAACCAACTGACTTTAAAATTTTTATACCCGTCCAATGACAAAGAAGACGGAGTTTAGCTTATTTTTCAATAATGTTCAAGTCTAAGAACTCAAAATACTTTAGATACTTCCCATTTATATGTCTTGAAATTAGAAAAAATTATTGTAGCAAAATACAAAATCCCTTAATTCTTAATTTTGTCTTTTCAAATTATTTTGATATTGATATATATTATCGATTTTACTGTACGTTGAAAAAACTTGTAAAATCGTTATAATAATAAAGAAAATCTAAAACTTATAATAATCAAACAACAATTTATTTCAATCATTTAATTGATAAATGAAAATAATAAGTTTTATTGACATTTTGCAAAAAAAAAAACTGTTGGAAAAAGTGTAAAAGAAGAATTTGAAGAGAGGAAGTCGAATGATTAGACTAGACGTGAAAGAAAAATTAGAGAAAAAATGAACTGTGCGAGTGAAAGATATTTCGAGTAGAATGAGTGATGTAAGAATTCTGGATAGAATTTCGCATAATTACCGGTATAGCTAGCTCTTTACTCCCTTTTATTTTTAAGATTATTTCATGATAAAATCATTTAATGTACAAAGTATCAAATAGTACATAATGTCCATAAAAACTACTTCTATATTCAACAAAAGAGATGTGTGATGTGAGCAATTTCCTACATATGATTTTGTGTAAATTCT